CTCCTGGCCTCTGGGAATTTTCCCTCAACATTGCACAAATGATCACTTATTTATTTTCATTGTTTCTTGTTCACTTCTGTATATCTTGACCTTTGCACAGAGCCTAGAATAGGGCAAGGGATTAATAGTTACTTTTTGTGTAAATGAATGAACAAATAAATAGAAATTCATAATTATATGAACTCCAAAACCTCTCCTGGGCCAGGGAAATTAGGAAACCACATCCTACTCCCCCACCAAATAGGCACTGCCAACCACATACTATCTCCATTACTATCTCCATCTTCAAAATATGTAGTGTCAAGAACAACGGGAGCCCTTTCTTCATCTAAGAGGCTTAAACTGTACTGTCCTAAGATAATTTAATGCCATAAATTAACTTATTTCTTTTTTAAAAGATTTTTAAAAATTTATTTATAGAGAGGGAAGGGAGGGAAATAGAGAGAGAGAGAGAGAAACATCAATGTGCAGTTGCTGGGGCTCATGGCCTGCAACCCATGCGTGTACCCTGACTGAGAATCGGACCTGCGACACTTTGGTTCGCAGCCTGCACAATTAACTTATTTCTTATGCATCTAGAATATTCTGTATTATCCTGAGAAAATAATTACCCAAATTATTTTCTTGGTCAGTTAAAAAGGCTGAGTGGAGGTTTCCTCTGTAGCCCAGTGGCAAGCCTTTCATACTGTATAAAAGCAATTACATGAAGTATCTATAGATACAAATGGTCCTCAACCTACAGTAGGGTTATGTCCCAATAAACCCATCATAATTTGAAAATATCCTAAGTTGAAAATGCATTTATTACACATAACCTATCAAACATCAAAGTTTAGCCTCGCCTACCTTAAACATGCTCAAAACATTTACATTAGCTGTAATTGGAAAATTGTCTTGAATTTCATCTTAAGAGGGGTTGCCTTCCTGTTCTTTTTTTTGAGAAGCGGGAGACATTATATCTATAAAGATTTTGTAGATATAATGGTATGAGAAAACACAATATCAAAAACATGCTGGCAACATGGTGACTGCAGAGTAATGGTTGTTTACCGGTGTGATCACATGGCTGACTGAGCACAGTAGCTCCTACACTGCCCAGCATCACAAGACTCACCAGGGAAAAGATCAAACTTCAAACTTCAAAACATGAAGTAGAGTTCTACTCTACTTCAGAGTTTCTCTGAATGCTTAGCACTTTTGCACCATTGTAATGTCAAAAAATCCTAAGTCAAACTATCGTAATTTGGGGACCGTCTGTAGTTACGCCCCAGCTCCATTTCCCTCTATGCTGTTTAATTCTAGCCAGTTTAATTCTGTACTGGAACTTACATTTAACTCTATTATTTTAATGCATCACTCTTAAGTAACACTTCTTCCCTCCTCAAGTCAAAGGCTTCCTTGTCAACTTTTCTACAGCATCACCAGGGGTCCCCAGGCAGGGGAGTTCCATGCTTCCAGTCCCTTCTTAGAGTAGCAATGTTCCTTATGCAGTTTCTGATATTTCTGAGTTAGTTGTCGAGGGCAGCCAAGGCCAAGAATTTCAGGAGATTAGGGAGTTGGGGGTGAACCTAGAACCCCTCTATCAAGTCTATTGTAAGGCATGCAAAAAAAACAGGAGCAATTTCAGGACAACCAGATGACCAGGGGAAGGTGAGCAGTGTGTGCGTTTCCCAGGCAGCAGACACCTGGCTGACTCCCCATCTTATTTCCGGTTCACCGTTCTCCTGAGGAAAATAGGATTCCCTCTCCCTCTGTTATGCTGCTCTTCTTAGGAGCCCAAACCTCAATGTGGCTGGGACAAGAAGGTGAAAACAACAGTGTTTGATTATGTTCTATAAAGCCTGAATAGGAAGAGAAGAGAGTTCGCTTCCGTTTCCATTAAACAAAGTATGGCCCCACAGTGTGCCTAATTAAGAACAAACGGACAGTAACCAGAGGGGAAGTGGGAGGGGATAACGGGAAAAAGGGGGAAGGGTTTTCAGGAACACGCACAAAAGACACATAGACAAAACCAAAGAGGGGTAGGATGGAGGGTAGGAGGTGGGGATGCCTGGGGTAGGGGGAATGGTGGGAGGGAATGGAGATAACTATACTTGAACAACAGTTTTAAAAAGACTAAAAAAAAGTAAAAAAAAAACCCAGAATACAGCTTAGCTATTTTACCATGTTAGCCTTCCAAGCACTCTTTCCAGACAGGTGACAACAACAGTTCCTTCCACCTGCGTGTCGCTTCAGGAACAATAAGTAGAGAATCAATATAGACATGGGAGAGGCCCACTTTTTATGTCTCTTCAGAAATTCTTATGCTTCAGAATTTCTAAAATGCAGCTCCTCGTCCAAAATCCCCAGCAATATGTTAACAGCCTGGAACAGTTTTCTAATGCCATGCCAAATACTTGTGGGGATAGGCCATCCTGATGAATAAAGCAAATTATTCCGTTAGAGGTTTTTTGTATGTATGTATGGGTAAGATATGGTTACTGTTGCTTAATAGGTTTAAAAATAAAAGATCAACCCTACACAGACTTCTCCCTTCTTCAAAGGCCTAAGTCCATTGTGGCTGTGTTGACCAGATCAATAGGGCCCCATTTAGAGTGAGTGACTAAGGACAATGAAGTAAAATATACTGCCCCATGCTCCTGCTGATTTTTATCTTCAGGAAAACCATTAGAACAATGTGTTTGGTTAACTGAACACATTGTTTACCAAACATAGATATGTAATAGCAATAAAAGCAAATACTTCTAGACTACTTACTATAAGCAAGCAGGTACTATTCTAAGCATTTACATATATCAGTTGATTTCATCCTGACAAAAACTCCAAACAATAGATGCTACTGTTCATCTCATCTTGCTTATGAGGGAACTAGACAGATAAGTGACTTGCCTATGGTCCCACAGTAAGTACGATGAAACAGCATTGAAGATAGTCAGGTAAAGAACAATATCTCTTGTCATTCAATTTTGTTTCCATCACCACTTAATTAAACCTTGGGTCAGGAAAATTTTTATTTTCTCAAAAAAGGAAAAAAAACGTCTTGCCTTAGGCCAGGCCTCCCCTCCTCACTATTTGCAGTCTCTGTCCTATGTAACACATGGTGAGCTCTCCTGCTGACAAAGTTAAACTGAGGCCAGTTCTCACTAAATATCCATGCTATGGGTAAAGAGAATTGCTGTCTGTTCATGGGCATTGTGTTGTCAGTGGTGACTATATTCTTTCTGCATCAGAAACAGAAAAACTGAGACTTCTGAAGTACCCAAGAGTTTCCCCCAAATGGTCATCCCAGCCACTATCATCTCCCAACTCAAAAACATACTGAGGAACCAAGCTACTGATTAATTCGACCATCTATCCTTTCCCAAGGTGTTTCTTGTGATAGAACTTGACTATCTCTGGCTAACCTATGCTTAGCAAAGACAATTCCTTACCCAGACCTCGTTCCTGGAACGTGTAAAAGCACTATACAGAAAGAACAGCTACTTGTAAAAATACAGACACATACTGCTTCCCACACTAAGTGCAAATGTCTTGTGAACTTGAAGTGAATCTTTTATCTAAACCAGTTATACAGGCCACAGTCTCCAAAGTAAAGTTTGCCTCATTTTAAATCCCAGGCAAATGCAAGATAACAAATGGCCTCAGGTTTGACTTTGTACAGTAAGAAAAATTTATAGCTCCTTAGCTGTGTTTTAGTTCCCACTTTCCTCCACAAATGATGAGGCTAATTTAATTAAAGGATCTAGACTCCCAAGCTTTTAAAGCAATGGCCCATTTAGTGTTGGGAAGATGAAACAACACACACCATTTTTGTCCCCTCCCCTATTTCCATCTGCCCCTTTACCCCAGGGATGGGAACACCTCACAGACAATGCCCTGGGCTGGGCGGGGGGCGGGGCATGCGGGGTGGTGGTTAAGGAATAGAGCAGGACAGAGAATTCCCAGACTAATCTTAAGTACCCAGCTTTTCAGAGAGACCCACAGGAATTTGTCTAGAAGGACACATTAAGTAGAAAAGTCAGGATGATCAGAAGTTTCACAACATAATGAACCCCATAATCAATGACAGCCAACTCTGGATACCCACAGAGTGCTAAGCACCTTTCTAAATGCCTTACATGTTTTCACTCATTTATCTTTCATTGGGAAACAATGAGATAGATACTATTCTTACCATTCACAGTTCACAGACGAGAAAATTGAAGCACAAAGTTAACAGACTTGCCAGGGTCACACAACTAGTTAGAGGAAGAGCCAAACATTCGGACCCAGGTACTCCAGCTTCAGGATCCCTGGGCTTAACCCTGTGTTCATGCTGAGGGAATTTTCATGCTGGCTGCCTGCCCTCCTCTTCCTGGCCTCGGGGATAAAGAAACACTCGGCAAATTACCTAGGGGCTCGTAGAGAGGGTGGATTTTATAAAAGCCTGCCTTGAGTTTGGTTTGGTTTGGTTTTTTGGAGGGAGTCATTGTTTCTGATACTGAAAAAAAAAACTCCTTACAAATTACCATAATGTTTGTCTAGTCTTTGGACATACTCATCAGTTTCCAGAGGAAAGGAAACAGCAGCTAGGACACTTTAAGAATGGCTTATCGGGGAGATCACTTCGTAAGTTATAAACAACCAACCATGTTGTACCTGAAACTAATATAATATTGAAAGTCAACTCTAATTGAAAAATTTTTTAAATGTCAAGAATCCAGCGAATACCAAAAGTACCAACCCAGGTCTCAAATGATGCCTGCAGAGCAGCACAGCTAGAGAGTGAGTGATTTCTAAGACCATTTTATCCCATTATATCCACTCAGCATGAATTTGTTGATAGAAACATTCCAGTTTCAAGCTTTTCAATATTCCTGATATTTACTTAGACTGGAGGAACAAAGAGGAAAGTTCACCGCCGTCTGTAAGAGCAAACATGTCATTGGACCATCTCCACTGCAGAGTTTCAAAACAGCAAGCACCACTCCTCTTCGAAAATCGAGGATGATTCTGGAGCTTCCAGAGCCTGGAACAGAAACCAGAATGCAAAGAGAGCCTGAATTGTTTTATCTTGCTCACTCAGGTGTTGCAGGTGCCTGGAAGGGTGCCCAACAGAGAGTAGTAGGCACTGAATACACTGAATGAAAACTGGTGAATGAATGAGTTGGGACAACAGAGTTCTCTACCAGTCTGCTTCCATTCCTGCTCCGAGGGAACCAGGTAAGGCCCTTATTCAAATGTATTCTACAATTTCTTCTGCAAAATGTGCAACCTGAGCAAACCTACACCTCCCATAAGATTATTTTAGTAGCCCGAGGGTGTGTTGATTATAACACCAGCATTTAACCACTGGTTTAAAATAAAGGCCTTCACACACCTGAAGTATGAACGTCAAACTCACAAAGTAATCTAGTGTAATGGCTAAGGATTTGGTCTTTGGGGTAAGACCTAAATTCAAATCTGAAGTCCACTATTCATAAGCCACATTTTGAAGCTTTCTTAACCTCTGTTTCCTCATCTTTAAAATCAAGGTAATAATGCATACCAGAAAGGTTGTAAGAACTGCATTAGATAATACATCAAAAAGGCTAGCAGAGTACCTGGGGTACAGGAAATGCCTAACAAATGGTTGGAAAGAGTGAAGTGGGAACATGCTGAATATTTACTCTTTCATTCTGAGGCTCATTCTCTATGTAATTTTTTCAAATCTTCACTCTGATCACTAAGTGTACATGAGGTATACAATTACTAATTTTTCTTTCAGTCTGTTTGTGTCCCTCCCCCTCACCCCGCTACCACTACCAAGGTCACTGAACCTCTCAGAGAAGAATTCTGATATCTTCTGGCAATGTGCTCAGGGAACTTCCAAAAGAGCGCGGCTCATCACTGTGGCATTGCTGGTAGTGATATGCTATTAATGAGAATACATTCCACTAAATGAAAGAATTGATGTGGTTTCCAGAGATACTTAGCTTGCTTCTAGGCCAGTAGCCTCATCTATGTTACTCTCAGGCTGCCTTTCCCAATAACTTTCATGCAAAAAGCCCTTGCCTATCCCAAACCCCGATGATTCCAACCTAACGTGTTATTTTAATATTGACACATGGAGAAGCCTCTTAAAACTCTCCTGGTTCCAATGACAAATTTTGTTTCCTGTACTGAATTTGACCTAGTCCCAGAAAATATTTACGCTTATTTGGTGACACGAGCTATAAAATATAATATACATGTATTGCCTATCATAACATTTAATTAGCTTTAAATTACTATTGCTATAGCAAGCAAGGCGATCTTAAGAGAAGGAGACTGTTAGATTCAAGGTGGAAAGGAAGGGAAATGAAGTTAACATTTTTAAATTCATATAATGTACCAGCAGCTTGGATGTCTAACTACCCAGAAGTTACTGAGCGCATGTATCATGGGTCAAGCCCTGGGCTAAGCACTTTTAAGCCCGTGCTCTCGCACTGAATCATCACACGTGCTGCTGACATTGGCAAGACAGAGCCCTGCTCTCCAACCAGGCAAACTGCAGCACAAAAGGGTAACTTGCTCAAGGTCTCTTATTTCAGAAGTGATGAGTTCAGAATTTAAACTCTACAGTCTGTCTTCAAAGTCTAATATTCCTCACATTACCGTTGGGTGTTCCCTACAGCTGACAGGCAGGTGGTAAAATCTTGCCCTTTACCACTGGAGCAAGTAGAGGTGTAGGATCTAATTTTCTGACTCATATACAACAACGGATTCTATCACACAGAAGGATGACTTCATGGCCTCTCTATACCGAGGTGAGGATGCGTCCCAAATTCTCTGTTAAATGAAGAATGAGCTAGATCATGATCTCCTTAGAGAGCAACTGCTTCTAACCCAATTCTGAAATCCTGACATCTCCACTTAACAGTTGTGTATCATGATGCAAAGTCACACCAACTGCTTACATGGAGTAAGTTTTCCTCCTTCACTCACCAACTTCTCCTAGCTCGTGGCTTTCCTCCCAAAACCTTTCCTGGGTATTTTCATAAATGGATTTCATAATCCTGAATATAAAGAGAATCATAGCAATGCCAACTCCACCCCCGAGACTGGCTCCTGAAGGCATGCTTCAGACCCTTCACTTGCTTTTCAGACAAGAGTGGAAATAATTGGGCTGCACTAGTTCTATTTTTATGAAATTATTCTGAAGAACAGTCATTATGTTGGGAAAATTCTACCTGATCCATCTCCATGGGTCTGCTAAATGAGGACAGTGGTTTGGGAGAAAGCAGTTGTAACCTTTTAAAACCACCACACTTTACAGTACTTGGTGCCTTACATATTTCAACAGGCATTGCCTCGAAGGCCAAACTTGACAAAGTATATATCCATCAGTAGCTCTAATTTAATAACAATTTTTCTCTATCATGTCCAGACTTATATGACATGTTCAAAAAACCTATAAACATAAATTCACACCATAAAAGCAATCATGATCGTCAGTCACTCCACTGGATAGATACATCAGTTGGTGGGATATTTGTTTTATGATGCTCAGAGTGGGAGGTGCACTGGTGCAGCCTACGGTTTCCCAACAGAGCTCTTGGGTATCCTGAGATTTGCCGTGGTTGAGTGTAAGAGTTTCCAGGCTCTAATCTTGGTCCTGCTAGTGAAATTCACATCGTTTAAATAAATTTCCTCATCTCCCAGTGGTATGGATTAGACTAAAGGTTTCTAAGGTCCTCCAGAAGCTTCAAGCTCTATGGGCTCCTTCTTCTACTCCCTCCACCCCATGCACACATGGGCGTCTTCATTCTTCCCCTTGCAAACACCACTGAAACCAGGGGTGACTATTCATACTGGTCAGATTGCAAGACTCTAGGGCATTGATGGGGCCACTTTCACTAGGAGATGGGGTTGCCATGTGGTAGACGGCACACCTGAGAATGGAATGCATGTGGAAGTGGCTCTGTTTCCCTGCGCTCATCCGTACAGCTGAAGTGGGAAGTGGGCCCCAGGCTTGTTTTCTGCACTGTTCTGCCCTCTCTTCTCTGTCCATAGCCAAGCCTGAGCCCATGGCTCACGGTGCAAACCCAGCCATCTTGGGCACTGGATTGGGAACAATTGCATTCTTTCTTACAGTTTCTCTGTCCTTCTCTCTCTCTCTCTGTAGTTCCATTCCTCTGTGCTGGCAGAAGTGAAGGATTGGGTATAACTAGCTAGAGGAAGAAAAATTATGCTCATATAGTCCAGTCGGCTTTACCAGAGTTCCATAGATTAAAAACAAACCCAAATGTCAAACATAGCTCTGCCAATTTACTTTCTGTGTATTCCACATGGGTGCACCTTCCCAAATAATTGTTCTAGGGGGGATACGGGAGGGGCCTAGGTGGGAGGCAGAGGTTCTGAAGTCCTTGGCTCTAACACTCTATTGTTACCAATGATACCATAACCAATGAGATGGTTTGGAGACTATTTGATTTCAAAAACAAATATAAACAACAATTTGATCAGAAGTTAGCTTATATCCTTACTGGCAAAAATTCATTTGTTTGAATGAGTTCACATGAAGCCCAAATCTCCCTCTTTCCCAGAGTATCTTTTGTTCTCTGTCTCTGTCTCTCTCTCTGCCTGTCTCTCCCTCTCTCTCTGTCTGTCTCTCTCTCTCTCATACACACACACATACACACACCAGTGATGGTGCAGGCACATCGCTGCATCACACTGAGAAAGACTGAGTCTACTCCTTTCAAGACAGGCCATCTGAACTAGGGAGCCTCCTGCAAATCCCAAAGAAGTATTATAACTGGTCCCAGTTTTTCCTGTCCACTGGCCACATACACACTCTCCCCACAAACCCCCAACACAGAGCATCTGATTTACACACTCTAGAATTTTCCCACCCACTGAGAGCAGTGTATCTCCAACAAGTTACCGCAATGACAGAGAGTGAATTCTCAAGGACAGAAGGACACATCCCCAGACTCGTGCAGGCAAGAGGCTGCTGCTGCCCTCCCTGCCCCACCGAGTGCAGAGTGCCCTCTTCACCAACAAAGTTGAACCAAACTCCTTTCCGGGTTTTCCTTGAGGCTAGCGACTTATCAAAGCTGAAACTTCGCAGGTCCTTAGCCTCCAATCCTTTCATGAGAATCCTATCATTTCCACACCATTGACTGGGGCCGACATGCTGCTTTGGATATAGAAGAGAAAAATAAAGCTGACAGAATATTTAGCAGCCACCTCCTCAGGCAGTTATGGAAACTCAGCTGAAAGGATTATGTCTGGCTTCTCAGAAAAGAAAGAAGAGAGAGGAAAGACAAAAATATTCAAGAATTGTTCACTTCTAGAGTCCCTTCAGTAAGTTCCACCTTTCCACAGAGACAACAAATGTAGGCCCTGTCAAAGAGTTCCCGTTTTTCTTAACACTCCCTGAGCAATTCTCAATCTCTTGCTATTAAACGAACTCTGTTCTCTAATGCAAAAGCACCTTTGTAGAAATTAGACATGAGATGCTTCTAACCATTCCAGAACCTTCATATTGGAGCCTCATAGAAGAAGCTTTAGTGGAGTCTCTCAGGTACAACGGCTGCTCTCTTGTTCTATCTTTTCTTCTACAGGGAAGGTGAGACCAGGAGGACAGTGTCAGGCTAGTAAACAAACCCAGGGCAGCACCGGCTCCTGAAAGAACCTGGGAGCTGTGCCTGGGGCCACCCTCCACACTGCACCCCAGCAGCTGAGAGAATAGGCAAGAAGGGATTTGTGACTTTCCTGGTTTATCTCCCAGCTGACCAAAGGTACTTGGTGGCACCACATTCCCTAGAGTGCCATGAGGTCCGAAGTCCTTCTGGAATGATTGCACGTACTCCTCACCACATCTGGCTTCCCCAACCTCCAGGCTAACACAAGTACCTGGGCCTCCTCCATAGAATTTGCTGCCCTAGTCAAGACTAGTCCCAAAGGTTAATTTGTTACACATTGTGAAAATATTACGTATTCAGAGTAAAGTTTTTAATTATGCAGAATGGTATATAATAAAAGACAAAATTCCTCTCCCTGTCACCTGACACCCCATGTACCCTCACTACATTGCATAGTTTGCACCTCACAGTTTATTTTATATCCTTAAAGAAATGATTTATGCATATGCAACTGAATCTATACACACTTTTTTAAATAGTCAACTGGGAATCACACAAAAAGCATACGATTGCATCCACTTGTTTTTTTTAACTTAATGTATTTAGACATTT